TGGAGGAATGGAAATGGTGCAAAGACTATACTCATGTATGATGTTCACAAAAAATAAAAAATTTAAAAACACTAAATTTAGTTGGGCATGGTGGCACACACCTTAATCCCAGCACTTGGGAGCCAGAGACAGATGAATCTCTGTGAGTTCGAGGCCAGCCTGGTCTGCATAGTGAGTTCCAGGCAAGCTGGGGTTACCTATTTCCTCCTCCTATCATATGACAATCACAAGAAGGGAAAAAGAAGAGGTGAACTTCTACTTCATCCATCTCTAGCTGTACGCCTCTCTATTTCAGGAAACTCTTAGCATTAGTGATAATGCAATGATGCCCAGTTGGGCTCCCTCTGAAGAGAGCCCTCCTAAACCATATGAGTTTCACCATGGACCTGCAGATTGGGATTTAACATTTGCTTCAGCTCTTGAGTTGGAACTTTCCTGTAGTCTGTGTCATTTACACAGACACAGACACAGACACACAGACAGACACACAGACACACACAGACACACACAGACACACACACACACACACACACACACACACACACACACACACACACACACACTGTAACCCTCTTTCTAGCACCAGGTCTCTGAAAGCCACTGTGAAACTGTCTCTTTTTCTCATGAGCATACTTAGGCAGTTCTGTTCCTTTGAAGGTTGATCAGACCTTCATTTTCACCCATTGGAGTGGGCTCTAAACCAAATTTCTTATCTGATGGGTGCTTCCCTGAGCTGTTCCTGTGCCCATTGGTTCTGTTGTGTTTCTGAAGTCTGTACATCCAGCATGCTGGGAGGGCAAGTCTCCCATGGGTCAAGTAGTCTCTTGGCACCCAGGTAAGTTACTGCTCCTGGTGCTCCATGGAAACTGGCACTCTGGTGACAAAGGAGATGCAACTCACTGTACCCAGTCTCCAAAGTCTCCAAATGAGCTTCCCAAATGAAGTAGACCTAGAATAGTGAACAGGACCCCAAGGTTAAACAGGAAGCAATTTATTATATAGTACAGTTTCCCTGAGAGAGATAATTCTCCAAAGCAGGACCCTGAACCAAGAAAAACTCAGTTTTTAAAAAATACTTTTTGCTTTTGTATCTTTTATAGATAATGGCATACATTTTAACTGGTGTTTTTAAAAACACTGAAAGAGGGGATTGGAAAGATGGCTCAGCAGATAACAGCACTGGCTACTCTTGCAGAGGACCTAGATTTGACTCCCAGCACCCACACGGTGGCTAACAACTATCTATAATTCCAGTTCCAGGGGATTATGACACCCTCTTCTGATCTTCTGCAGGAATTACACATAAGTGCTGGGATTAAAGGCATATGCCACCACGCCCTATCTGACTTCTATTTCAAAAGGGGACTTCCAGCAGAGCATGGTGCCACATGCCTGTCTGTAGTGCCAGCACTTGGGAAGCAGAGGCAGGCAGATCTCTGTGAGTTCAAAGACAGCCTGGTCTACATAGTGAGTTCCAGGCCAGCTGGGCTAAGGGAGACCCTGTCTCAAAAAGACCAAAAACAACAAACACTGAAAGAGGATACACAATGACTGGAATGCCTTGGGGAGGATGGAGACCCTGAGGGCTTGAACAGGAGACAGAAATGCACCCACACACAGACACCATCCATATCTTAATGCAATGCAGAGAAGACCCTCACAGCAGAATTTTCTGGCCTCAGTTGTTAATAATGTTGAGGTTGAATAACCAGTGCTATCCAGAAAGGACAAAAATAATTGATTGAATAGTTACATTCCATCAATTATTAACATTGATGTAATAGTTCTGTATTTTGATTGTGGTTATAGTTACACAAATCCATACATGAAACAAAATTGCTAGACTTACATATGTTCACAAAAGAACGAAGGTTAAAAACATGAAATATGGTGAAAGCCAGGAGTTGGGGATGTAGCTCAGAGAAAGAGCACTTGCCTATTATGCACAAAGCACTGGGTCCAATGTAGAATAATACTGAATGAATGAATAAATAAGAAAGCTAAATGAGGACAGTCTTTTCTGATTTTGATATCGTGAGACATCAATTTAAGATGCGACCATTAGGGGAAACAGGATGAAGTAGACACGGGACTTTTTTGCAACTTTCTTTGAGTCCATAGTTATTTCAAACTATAGAAATAGTGAGATTAAACCTAAGAACCAGCTGTGTTTTCTTAGGAATCACTATATAGCTTTATTTTCTGTTGCTATCACTTCCCTCTTTGATTCTGAATGTTGTATAGAAGTTAGTACAGCACTCTGTTTTCTTTAGCGATAAAATAATATGTGGGATTGCATAATTTATAAAGTAAAAAAAGTTTATTTAGCTCCTGGTTATGGCAGATTGGAATTCCAAAATCAGGGCAGCATGATCTGCCTGGATTCAGGCGAGGGCCTTGTGCAGTGTTAGAACATAATGGAAAAGCTGAAGAGCAGGCTGGTCATAGTGGCATATATCTGTAATCACCACTCTTGGAAGGTGGAGGCAATAGAATCAGAAGTTCAAGGTCATTGTCAACTGACCAAACCAGTTTGGGATACATGAAAACCTATGTCAAAAGGAACAAACAAATATACAAGTAGAAAGGCGGGCAGGAGCATACAGACCTACAGAAGATAGTAAACCCAGAATAGCTCACTTTAAAAGCAACTTCTTTCATGCAAACTAATTCAGTCCTATGAGAACAATCACTCACTTCTGTGAGAATTAGCTCAGTCTCTAGAAAAAGGCAATTTCTTTCAATAATCTTTTTTTTTAAAGCTTACTTTATTTCATGTACAGCAATACAGTTTATGTATTTAATAACACTGTAATGGAGTCTTATGATAAAGTTTTAAACACAAAATTGTGTGGTCATTTTCTCAAGACCCCAGATGCATTTCTAACAAACAAAAAATGAGAAAGCTGTTACTCACTTCTGTGAGAATTAGCTCAGTCCCCAAAAAAGGACAATAATTTCAATAATCTTTTTTAAAGCTTTATTTTATGTACAGCAGTACACTTTATGTATTTAATAACACTATAATGGAGTCATTTGATAAAGTTTTAAACACAAGATTGTGTGGTCATTTTCTTGAGACCCCCAGATGCATTTCTAACAAAGAGGAAAAAATGAGAAAGTTAGCTGAGTGTTGGCATTTCCTTTCTCGGATTATTTGTTCACCTACATGTGAGCAAGCAGTCCCACATTTCTGCTGCCATGGCTACAAGCTGATACCACTGCTTCTCCACCATGATGGATTTTATTTCTTCAAACACAAGCCAAAATAGACTCTTCCTCTTATTTATCTTTTTGAGACAGAGACTCTAGTTAGCCCCAACTGGCCTCAAACTCACTATGTAGACCAGGCTGGCCTCTCTCTCACAGAGATCCTCCTACTTCTGCCTCCTGAGCACTGGCGTCAAAGGAGTGTGCCACCTCATCTGGGTTCCTCTTATTCTAAAATTGCTTCTTGTCAGGTATTTGATTACAGCAATGAGGGAAGTAACTAATACATAATTATATTACTTCATAAATTATGCCACATGCATTAGAAACGTTTAGAAATTAATATGGACACACAATTAAACTACAAAGCTTCCCAGCATGTAGAGTTATCTGCAACCTATTTATTTGTGTACAAAGAGATAAGGTCTCTGAATGGCAGGATGCGAACACTTCCTGGGGAATGTGATACAGGAAAAGTGGAAGCTAGGGAGGTGAAAGTAAAGGGAAGTCACTGGCACCAGAGGCAGGTCAAGCACACAATGAGTATACAGCTTGAAGGGAAACCAGGCAATAGGGAACTAATAAAGTCGGGAAGAGATTTTCTTTAAATATATGGAAGAAAATTTAAAATGGAGTTGCTGGTCCAATGGTGGCACTTTCTACCTTGAGAACTAGCCATTTTCTCACACCTTGATATAATGATACAATTCTTCCAGCAGAGCACCTTGTTACTTCTTCCTGTTACTGAACAATGCTGGCAGAAATTTAAGTGTATCAAATGATGTCAGTATCACAATTTATAGCTTCACAACTCTGATCCGTTTCAAAGGGCTCTGCTAATAAGTATTGTTTATGCAACAGTAGGTAATCATAGAACAGGGTCTGATGACTTTGCACATTTGGGTCATAGTGTGCTGTCAAGAATTCACACTTGTGCAATGCTGATTAATATAAACTGTGTTGTATTCTAAGTAATCTTTAAAAACAAATGACGTCTTTTAAATCTAGATTCACAAGTAACGATTATCCTTGATGCCACCTCAAGTCCGAATGGTGCAGTAACTCAATGAAACAGACCTAAATCCTACCATTTGGGTGGACACTTTTGGGCACCTTGTTTCTGCTCCACACATTCTAGGAGGCAGTCAATGCAAGTTGCCCGGTCTCCTGACCAAACCGGTTTGATTCAAGGGAAGCTGTGTGGCCTTGGAGCAAAGATTGAGGACTACTGCACAGGTTGTTCCTTGGCGTTTATTCCGTGTTCCTTTAGCTATTTTGAAGACCTTTCTCCTCCATTGACTTAGCTTCCAACCTCCCTGCACAAAATAGAACAGTTTAAGCCTTCCACGTGGGCAAACACTATGTTTACTAAAATAAAGGAGCTCGCCGCTATTTTAGTAGGCTGCCCTTGCACACTAGCCAGACACGACTACTCTGGGGTAAGGTGGGGGGCGGGGAAGGCAAACAGGAGTCCGAGCCCGCCGCGTTCTCAGCGCCCAGTCCCTTTCCAGTAATTTCGCTAGCTGTGATGTCATCTTAGTGCGCCGTTATAGTGCCTCCCACAAACCCCGTTTTAATTTTTTAGTGAAGAGTGAAAAAATGAATGTTTATGTTGTCCCACGGAGTTGTACGGTCCGGGTTTGCTTTCAGCCCTTCGAGCTCGAGCGGCCAGTCAGAGGTTGAGAAAGACATGTAACTCGGGCACCGCACAGCGGCCCCGATGAGTCGGCGGCGGCCAGCGCGTTACCCGGCGTGCCCCGCGCGACCGGCTGCGGTGTGGGGGAGGGGCGGGAGGAGGAAGCGGCGGCGTCGCCGAGAGTGTTCGGCGTCCCCACGGCGCAGCCCACCTAGGCCTGCACCTGGAGCTCACGTCCACGCGACGCCCGTGCCCCTCAGTCGCCTTGCGACCTGTTGGCACCTGGGTGGTGTGTCCCGCATTCTCCGAGCCGCGCCGCAGACCCTGCAGTGCCTGCGCCGCTAACCCGGCCACCCGTCAGGCTCGCCTGAGTCACCGCCATGGCCGAGAGTGGCGAGAGCGGCGGCCCTCCGGGCCTTCAGGGCAGCGCGGGCGACGCGGCCGCGGCCACGGCCACGGCCGAGCCCAAGATCATGAAAGTCACGGTGAAAACCCCAAAGGAGAAGGAAGAGTTCGCCGTGCCCGAGAACAGCTCCGTCCAGCAGGTGAGGGCCGGCGCTCGGGCGCGGTGGAGGTGGCGGCGGAGTCAGTTTGGACTGGCCCGGGCGACGGCGGGCCCAGGCCGGTTCCGGGTCTCATCCGGGAGCTCACGTCGAGTTCTTTGGGCGTGCTACCCCAGGGCGCCGGCCGCCGAGCTGGTGCAGGGCAGGCGGCGCGGCCTGTGGGGACGGCCGCCGCTGCCTAGTGCCAGGCCCGGGCCCCAGCGCTCACACCCGCGCTGCTGCTGCTCACAAAGGAGCCGACCACGCCGGCCGACCCAACCCGGGTGCGCCACCGCCCCGCTCGGTGCGCGCTTAAGGAGTGTGGTCACGGTTTGACCTGTGCGTTAAGGTGTACTTGGGTGAGGTGGACGTTTAGTTCTCGGTTTTGAATGCAGAAATCTCTCCTATCTTTAAGCCTTTTACTTTAAAATTATGACCTAGAAATTTTCAGCCACATTTCAATAGTAAAAACCTTAAGGAGAAGAGTGAATATATTTATTGACTTACTGTTTGTTTTTTTGTTTTCTGAGACCAGTCTCACCACGTAGCACTAGGCTAGCCTTGAACTCAGAAAAATCCAGCTGCCGTTGCCCCTCCAGTCCTGGGATTAAAGGCTTGTGCTAACCACGTCCGACCTGTTTGGGTGTATTTCTTATCATCCCTTAGATGCCAATCATTGGATAGGTTTTTGTTTGTCAGGGGTATGAGAGTATAATACTTGGCTATTAATGGTTGCAGCCAAATAAAAGAAAACAAGATTGGTGTTAATGGAGAACCTCCCCAAGTAATTTAGTGCTTTAAGTCTCTTCAAGAAAACAAATTTTGTAGTTAATTGTGGCCCAGTAGACTTTGTAAGAATTAGTTTATGTCAAAATTAGTTTATTTTTGAATACATCCTAGAGTACTTTAATTATTGAATTGATCCCTGACAATCTCAAACTTCGTAAAAACAGTTTTATAGGAAGCATTTTACAATCACTGGACTGTACCTTTACATTCCCCCAAGGACCTACTGCCAAAGGTTTTGTGAAGCAGGAGGATGTGTAGCATCATTTGAGAGACATTCTTGTTGACTGAATCCCTTGTTCCTTTACAGTCATAAATTTCCTTAACATCCTTTTATTTTCCAGCATGCAGAGAGGTTGAAAGGGTTGCAACAATTACAGTTGGCATTTTCTATTTGCTGTATTATGTCTTGTTTTTAAAATACACCATGTCTGGTTTAGAATATTTTCATAGTTCATCTGCATTGACTATGTATCATCATCATACGTATCATCTATATCAGTATTTACTTAATGACATTTCTTTATTGTTTGTGTGTGTGTTTGTGCTTATGGAGGTCAGAAGACAACCTGTAGGAGTTGTTTTCTTCTACCATCTGACTCCTGGGGATTGAACTTGGGTCCTCAGACTTGGCAGCAAGTGCCTTTACCTGATGAGCCTTCTCATCTGCCCCAGTTCTTCCTATTTATTGCTCAATAATGCCCCATTGTGTGGACACCACATTTTTCTCCATCACCTGGTGGGCATTGGAGTTTCTGCCTTTTGGTGTGAATAATGACTCAGGAAAATACTCATGATTCATATGCTTTTTTGTGGATATATGGTTTCATTTTCTTGGGTATATACCTAGAAATGGAATTGCTAGGTCACATGCTAACTGTATGTTTAATTTTTGAGGAATTGCCAAACTGTTTTTCAAATTGACTGTTCCAATTACTACATTCTCAGTAGCACTTGTTATTGTCTGTCTTTGGTTATAGGCGTCCTAATGTGGCTGTTAAATGCCAGCTCATTAAATTATTTTGCTTATTATTACTGATACCCTTTTAGGACAACCATGTTATAGTAATTCTGAAATGTTATCTTTGATTTTGGCTATCACAAAAATGAACTGGATTTTTAAAAATGTTTTTTTAAATTTTCTTAGTATTTCTTTTTATTTAATGTGTATGAATCTATTGCCTATATGTATGTGAGTGCACCTGTGTTGTGCAATGCATCGGAGGTCAGAAGAGGGCTTTGGATTCCCCTGAACTAGAGTTAAGGACAGTTCATAGCCATCATGTGGGTGCTGGGAATCGAACCAGGGTCCTCTGCAAGAGCAGTCAGTGCTCTTAACAGCTGAGCCATCTCTCCAACCCCTTATTATTATTTATGTGTATGAGTGTATTTCCTGCTTGTAAGTTAAGTGTACCTGCATCATGCAGTGCTTGAGGAGGCTGGAAGAGGGCATCGAATTCCCTGGAACTGGAGTTATGAATGGGTATTAGCCGCCATATGAATGGGTATTAGCCGCCATGTGAGTGCCGGGAATTGAACTCAAGTCCTCTCCAAGAGCAGCCAGTGCTCTTAACTGCTAAGCCATCTATCTCTTTAGCCTATGAACTGGACTTTGGCAGAGGTGGCAGTGCTTGCTGCCAGTTCTGACAACCTGAGTTTGATCCCTGAATCCCACATGGTGGAACGAGAGAACTGACTCCTAGAAGTTGTTCTCTTTGCAAGTACAGCTCCAGGCCTGGTGGTGCACACTTTTAATCACAGCACTCAGGAGGCAGAGGCTGATAAATCTGTGTGAGTTCAAGGCCAACCTGATCTATATAGGGAGTTCCAGGTCTGCCAGGGTAACATAGTGAGACCCTGTCTCAAAGAAAAACCCCAAAATGAATTAAAAAAAAACAAACCACAAAAACAAACAATAAAAAGCACAGTTATTTCTTACTAGGAAAATTCATCTGTTTTTCTGAAGAGTATATTAACATACTAAGGATTTAGGTTTTAAGTTAACATTTTAGATGATTTTTTCTGCTTTAATTTCCAGTATAATATCAATAGATATGATTTGCATGAACAGAACTCTTGGTTAAAATGATGTCTTGAGACCAGAAATTGTTGTAGTGAGGCAATTAAAAGACAAGTAGGTATTTAAAAGATTTGAGGACTGTTGACTCCACTAAGTTGCCATTGCTTCTTGCCTAGAAATTGTCATTTACTACCAGTCTCTCAAGTTTTTCTCTGTATTTTGCTCCTCCCTCCCATTCATTTCCAGAATACTATCTAAAAATATTAATCAAGTCATGTCCTTCTGCATAAAACTAATGGTTCTCCACTTATCTTGAAGTCAGAGTTAAGTGGCAGGGCTCTTTGGTGGCTTCTATCTGCTCCTTCATTGTCTGCTGAGGCCATCTTTCTCCTTGCTTTTTTTTTAATATTTATTTTTTGTTTTATGTGTATGAGTGTATTACCTGCATGTGTGTGTGTTGTGCCCATGGAGGTCAGATGGTGTTGAATCCCCTGGAACTGGAGTTATAGATAGTTGTTAGCTGTCATGTGGGTGCTGGGAATCGAACCCAAAAAAGTCCTCCGGAAAAGCAGTCAGTGCTCTTAACTGCTGCGTCATCTCTCCAGTGCTGCATTTACTACTGCTGTAGGACTTCTGGCATGCTTTCCACTCTGCTGGGTTCTGTTGATCCTTTAAATTGCAGTGCATAGGTCAGTTTCTCAAGGAAATATCCCTGATTTGCGCAGACTAGATTGGAATCACCTGTTGTGTTTTCTCAAAATAACCCTAGGGTTTTTGGTCATAATTTATTACAGTTTAAATCTATAGTTATTGATTCTTTAATTAATGCTTCCCTACTGGAGAGGGATTGTAATTATTTTATTTCTAGAATTTGGTACATAGTTTTATTTATGGATGAATTTGGAACATTTTACACAATAATTATGTATTTAACATTAAATATTCCTGTTGAACCTTTACTGAATGAAGTATACACAAAAGTCTCATGGCTTCAGTCTTCTGAATGTTTCATCTTAAACTCTATCTTTTCATTCACCAGTTGTTGAAGAACAACTCTTTTAAAATTTATTATTTGTTTAGCGTGTATGCATGCTGGTCAGGAGACCACTTTGGGATCTGGGGTTGTCTTGCTTGTATGGCAAGCCCTTTTCACTGCTAAGCCATCTCACCAGGTCCTCAGTTCTTGACTACCTGAGATAAACACTCTTGCTTGAACCATTATCCTTCTAGAACATTATATAATGGAGAGCTCCTCAGGATCACAGGAAATAATTTTAGTACTGTCAACTTTTAAGTAAAGTTTTTACTAAAGATACTTTTTAACTGATAATAATTAAAACATTCTTACTATATTTATTTATTCTGTATATGTGTTTGGGCATGTGCGCCAAAGCTACACATGTGGAAGTCAGAGTGACAGCCTGTGGGAATCAGTTTTTTCCTTCCGCTGTGGGGGCCCTGGTGATCAAATTTGGGTCATGGGGCTTGACAGCAAGCCCCATTACCTGCTGAACCATCTTACCAGTCCCTGATAGAATTTTAGACTTGTAGAGGAGAAATAAATAATTTACATAGGCCAGGATATGCTGGGCAGTGTTTGTCAACCAGTTCTTCAGAAAAAATAGAACTGATTTATAGCGTTTGCTAGTTCCTATGATGTAAATATTCTCACCATAATAGATTTTAAGATACCAGTATTAGGGGCTGGAGAAATGGCTCAGTGGTGCAAGCTTTTAATCCCAGCACTCGGGAGGCAGAGACAGGTGGATCTCTGTAAGTTCAAGGCCAGCCTGGTCTACATAGTGAGTTCCAGGACAGCTGGGGCTACAGGGAGACCCTGTCTCAAAAAGACAGCCCCCCCCCCAAAATAATTGGGTCTGGAGAGATGGCTCAGTGGTTAAGAGCACTGACTACTCTTGCAGAGGACCTGGGTTCGAGTCCCAGCACCTACATGGTGGCTACTAACTGTCCTTAACTCCAGTTCCAGGGGAATCCGACGCCCTCTTCTGACCTCCACGGCATTGCACGACACAGGTGCACTCACTTACTTGCAGGCAGTACACTCATACACATAAAATAAAAATAATAAATAGAATATTAAAATGAAAATTTTTTTTAAAAAAGATACCAGTATTAAACTGCTTTACACATTCCTAAAAATTAACCTGTTACTTACAGTGGATTCCTTAGGCAGAGA